TTGGGGTGGGAGGCCGTGTCTGGGGTGGGGGAGAGGCAGGGGTCACTATGGCTAGTGATTCCTCAGGGGCTGTTCTAGGGCTCTTCCTGGGCCCCCTCCACCTAGATTCTTTGGGGTCCCCCAAAGTGCCTCCCCAACCCGCAATCCCCTCATATCTACTTCTGTCTCTGCCCATCTGTGCCTTCTTTCTCTGCTGCCCCATCTATTATTTCTCCCCATTCCCTGTCAGTCCTGGCCCCTGAGTTCCCATATCTATCCCCCAGCAGGGGCCTCCCCAAAGCCCTACCTTGGACCCCTCGGAGCCCTGGGTGCAAGTACCATCTCCACATGGGCCCTACCCTACTTAAATCGGCTGGTCCTAACCGCCCCCCTCCCCTGGGAGCTGGTCTTCAGGAAATGACAGTCTGGCTGGAGGCGGAGTCTGGAGGGGGGGTGGGGATGTGGAGGAAGTATCAGTTTCTTTTTGGGGGCGGCTGGGAGGCCAGAAATAAATATTTAAGTAACTGGTAAGGGAGGGGACTAGCCCTGTCCTTGGTCATGAGGTCCCCGAGCAGTCTCTGCTCCCTGGACTGTATAGACCTGGGCCAGGGTCCCGTTCTCTCAAGTCCCTCTCTGGCTCCACTTCACTGAGCCTCAGTCTCCCCTTCTGCAAAATGGGCGGGGCTTTGGGGGCAGCAGTGCCCCAGTCTGCTGCTTCTCAGGGGTGATTACAGCCAGGCAGCATTGTGTGCAGCGCCTGTGGCACACCTAAAGGAGGGGTCTGGAGCGGCCCTGGCAAGTGATCACTTGTCTTGCCTTCTCATTCCCTTTTTTTTTTGGGGGGGGGGGTTCAGTCGTGGGGCCTGAACTCTGCGCCTGGGCACTGTCCCTCAGCTCTTCAGCTCAAGGCTAGCACTCTACCACTTGAGCCACAGCGCCACTTCGGCTTTTTTTTTTCTTTTTGCTTATGTGGTGCTGAGGAATCGAACCCAGGGTCTCAGGCATGCAAGGCAAGCACTCTACCACTGAGCCAACTTCCCAGCCCCTCTGGCTTTTTTCTTATGTGGTGCTGAGGAATCGAACCCAGGGCCTCGAGCATGCAAGTGCTCTACCACTGAGCCACCTTCCCAGCCCCCTACCTTCTCATTCCTAACTTGAGGACCTACTGTGGCACTCAGGGCAGGCCAGGCTGTGGGGTGACCCCTCAGAGAAACAGCCTGGGCCTGCAGGAGCCTCTGCCCATGCCCCTGGCCACCCAAGCATCCCCCCGGGGTTGGAAGGAGGGAAGCAGAGGCAGGAAAGGGTGAGGTGCTGCTGGGAATGGGCTGGAAACCCCCACAGAATGCTGCCGGGTGTGGATTGCTGGGAGAGCCAGAGTGAAAACAGAGCGCAGCTGGTCCACATCTGCAAACAGTGGCCTGGCCTCTGCCTGGAGGCCCAGTTTCAAGCTCAGATGTCCACACACAGGAGGACTTATAATGAAAGGAGTAGGGAGGGCTCCTGGGGCCAGGTGTGGGGGAGTGGCCTGCTGCTCACAGCTCCGCCCAGCCTGGTGTGTTCTATAGAGCCATTGGGGCATGGTAGGGGTCAACACCCCTAAGTCTCTGCCCACTTGACATCATAGCACCCCCCCTCCCCATGGGGAGACACCCAAATCATCTTCAGATACTACCCGATGGAGTGATGTGGGGTGGGGCAAAGTGGCCCTTCAGAGCACCACGGGGGGGGGGGGGGGGGAGGGGGGGAATCTGGGCCAACATTGGGAATAATTGCAAAGAACTGTCCTGAGACAGCTGGGATAACAGGAAGGAGCAACCTCCTCCCCACCCCCACTGCCCCCAGCCACCTGTTTGCTTTGGTTTGGGGTCAGGTCATGGATCAACTGGGGATTGCTTTTCAGGTTGTCAAGCTGTGTGTGTGTGTGTGTGTGCGCACACACGTGTGCGCACACGCGCAGATGCACACTCGCACATGCATGCCCACCATCCTGGGTCTTGAACTCAGAACCTGGGAGTGTCCCTGAGCTTTTTCTGCTCAAGGCTGGCACTCTACCACTGGAGCCACAGCTCCACTTCTGGCTTTTTGGAGATGTGTTTCATCTGGCTTTGAACCATAATCCTCAGGTCTCAGCCTCCTGAGTAGCTAGGATGATAGGCATGAGCCACGAACACCAAGCTTAAGAACCACACCTGCCTATTATGTTGGAGATCATATTGGGTTAAGTGAGGTGAGGCTAGAAAGGCCTGAGCCCAGGAGGCCAGTGGGCAGCGCTGGTTAGTTTGAGAGACAGCCAAAGTTGTAGGACAAAAGTGGAGGAGGGTGGGGTAAGGAAGCCACACCAAACACCTGTTTTCTTCAGTTGGTTTGGGGAAATTCTGCTTCTAAGAAACAAGTGGGAGTCTTCCAGGGAATAATGGTGGAAAAACCCTCCTAGGTTTGGTCAACTCCAGCCAGCCTCATGACGACACGGATGGTGACAGTTCTAGTGTTTAAGTCATATGCACAGCAGCCAAATCTGGGGAGCCCCGCACCCCAGGGACCTGGCTCCTGCTGTGTCTGTCTGGAGACTGCCCCCCAGTCAGGGGGCAGGGCTGTCCGGGAACCAGGCTGGATGGGAGGGAGCACACCACACACTTACCTGAGACCCTGATCTTTTGCCCCGACCCCGAGGGAGGGGTCTCCTTCCCAGAGCCCTCCTTCCCCAGTTTCCAGAACACCCTGGACCCCAGGTGAAGGGCACTCACTGCATAGCTGGCTCAGGGGGGCTCGCTTAGTGCCCATGGCCTTTCTGCTTAGCCAGGGACAGAAGTCATCATTGGGTATGTGCAGAACCAGGCGAATGACGGTGGCCAGGTCCTGAGGCGTGGTCTGAGCAGCCGGGAGGACGCAGTGGGCAGGACCTCCTGTTTCCAAAGTGTGCTACTTTGGACACTTTCTAACACACACAGAAACAGACGCCAGCGTGCCCGTTACTCCACAGCCTCCATTCTTTCAGCCACATCCTATTATTTTGTAGGTTAATACTTTGGGAAGTTTTGTATCACAAACTTTCCCAGAAAGAGTGGAAGCTTTACAGGTTTTGTGGTTTGTCTCTAGGCAGCCATCCACAATATGCAAATTAGGGCGTGGCTGTGTTCCAATAAAGCTTTATTGACAACAGAACACAGGCTCATAGTTTGCCCCCATGTTCCATAAGAGAACTTACACACTTAAAGAAATAAAACTACAATACCACTTTCATACTGTAAAATGGCAATATAATACCATCAAATCAAGGTTTACATTTTTGGGATCATCTCAGGTTTTAAATTTGTATGAATCAAGACTCGAATGGAGATTCCACATTATATTTGAGTGATAGCCTGTTGCTTCTAGTTCTGTGGACTTGGGAAAGGGCACTATCTCCTTAGACACAGGGGATGACCTGCTATGACCCCAGGTCCAGTCAAGGTCACCCAGCAGGAAAATCTTTGGTGTTCATGGTGGCTAAGCTGGATGGTGTCTGGAGGTGAGATGGGCCTAGGACACTTGGAAAGGGATTCAATGTTAAGTGATAGTGGGATGTAGGCCATACCTGAACCCTGGCAGAGCCAGTGGCCCATGTCTGTAATCCTGAAAAGGCCATCTGGAGGATCTCAAAAAGCCAAAAACCTGGTGGTAAAAGTTTTTCTGTTGGTTGTGGGCTTGAACTCTGGGCCTGGGCGCTATCCCTATGCTCTTCAGCTCAATGTAAGCACTCTACCACTTCAGCCACAGCACTACTGGTTTTCTGGTGGTTAAATGAAGATGGGTCTTAAGGACTTTCCTGCCCAGGCTGGCTTTGAACTGCGATCCTCAGATCTCTGCCTCCTGAGTATGAGTAGCTTGGATTACAGGTGTGAGCCACTGGCACCCAGCTCAGTTTATTTTTGGGTTGACCGTGGGGCTTGAACTCTGGGCCTGAGTGCTGTCCCTCAGCTCTTCAGCTCAAGACTAGCACTTTACCACTTGTGCCATAGCGCCACTTCCAGTTTTCTGGTGGTTAAGTGGAGATGAGTCTCATAGACTTTCTGGCCCGGGCTGGCTTTGAACCGTGATTCTAAGATCTCAGGCTCTTGAGTAGCCACCAGTGCCCAGCCCAGCTCAGTTTTGTTTCTTGTAGTACAGGGATTCAAACTTGGGGCCTTGTACTTGCTAGGCAGGGCTCTACCACTTGAGCCATGCCTCTGGCTCCTACAGCTAATTTTCAAATAGGGTCTTTGCACTTGTGCCCATGTTGGCCTGGATCACAATTTCACTAAATACTCCCTGTGTATCTGGGATGACAGATGAGAATCATCACACCCAGCTTATCAGTTGAGATGGAGTCTTGGTAACTATCCTTCTGACATTTGCCTCTCAAGTAGCTGGGATTACAGGACACCAGCTGCCTCTTACAGTGCCCAAACTTAGAATTTACTGAAACCTTGGCAGCCCTGGCCTCCTGGATATTGGGATTGCAGGTGTGCACCAGTATGCCTGACTTTAATGGGGAAAGGAAATTTGGTAAGCGCTTACTAAAGGAGAGTCACCTTTAAAAGCCTCTGAGTCCAAATTCAGTCACATTTGTCTTCATGTTAGTGAATGAAGAACTTACAACGATCAGCCTGTTTTCTTCCTGGAAAGGTAAACTACAGTTATAAGAAGGCGGATGTCCACAGGTGGCAACCATAGGGACCCCTCCCTGACTGCCCCAGTAGCCTGCTGGGACTACACATGGTGATTTTCCTGACTTATTTGAAGAACTTGTATTGTTCAAAGTACAGTGCCCAAGATCCTTTGTAGGGGACAAAGTGGGCATTTCACTCCAACTTCCAACTTATTTTTGGAACACAAGACTGAAGTCTAGGCAACCCAAGGCCTCCCCTTGAGCAGAATAGCCAGGGAGGGTTGGAGGCCCAAGGACTGAAGATCAAGGCGGTAGTGTATGAGGGGGTATCTCCCTCCTCTAAGCTCATTCTCCCATACCACTACAGCATCTACTGGAACAAAGCTCATGTCTTGTGCTCACTCTGGCAGCACACATGCTAAAATTGGAACATTATAGATTAACATGGCCCTTGCTCAAGGATGACACACAAACTTGTGAACTATTCCATTTTTTTTTTTTGCCCGTCATGGTATCTGAACTCTGGGCCTGGGCACTGTCCCTCAGCTCCTCAGCTCAAGGCTAGTGCTCTACCACTTGAGCCACAGCACCACTTCCAGCTTTTTCTGCTTATGTGGTGCTGAGGAACCGAACCCAGGGGCTCATGCATGCAAGGCAAGCACTTTACCACTGAGCCACCTTCCCAGCCCCTATTCCATACTTTTATAAACCCTGTTACTCCTTCCCCTCCCCAGAAAAAAAAAAAAAGTCAGGCATCAGTGGCTCATGCCTGTAATCCTAGCTACTGAAGAGGCTGAGATCTGAGAATTGTGGTTTAAAGCCAGCCTGGGCAGGAAAGTCCCTGTGAGACTTTATCTCCAATTAACCACCAGAAAACCAGAAGTGGAGCTGTAGCTCGTAGTAGAACTATCCTTGAGCAAAAAGAGCTCAGGGACAGAGCTAGGCTCTGAGTTCAAGGCCCACAACTGACCAAAAACTCCCTCAAAACTTGTGTGCTTCAGAGGCCAATATGGCACAAGGAAATGATGACTGCCTAGCATCTCTGCTTTGTAAGACTTGTAGAAACAGGGCTGTGAAGCTGCAAACTGAGTGGAATAGGAGGAGGGAGGGCAAAAGGCCACCTCCCCACCTGTGGAGGGGTAAGGCCAGTAGCTGGAAGTCACCCTCCCACACAAATCTGCACCCCACTGAAGCACAGCAGAACCCTCCAGCCAGCCCCGGATGACAGACACCACCTGTCCCCATTAGGCTGATGCCGTCAGGATGGTGGCAGAGGACAAGTCCCCACATGGGGAACAGCTGGAGTCATGTCACCCCCTCTTACCACAAAGGGGCTTCCTCCTGCACTGGTGGGTAGCTCCTTTTGGCCTTCCAGACCAATGATATTGGCTCCAGCCGTGGACCTGCTCAGTCCATGTCTAATACATATACAGACCAACGGCACTTCAGTTCAAAATTCTTACTTTATTTAGAAAGCAACATACAACCATAGGCATTGCAGGAGTACAGCAAAGCACAGAGCGAAAACAGATACCTGGACACAGCTGGCTTCTTCGTAGATACTGTGGCTACTCTGCTTTGGCATTGGGAAGCTCGGGGCCAGGGCTGCGAGGGCCTCTGGCAAGGGAGGCCACGGTGGCAGATGTTTCTTTGGACTGGTGCTGTGGCAGGTTGATTGCCACTGTTCTCCACCAAACAGGAATTGGGCTGGACCCGGGAAAGCACAGCACACAGGTGTGGTGCAGTCTCTGGCTTCCTCAAGGATAAATGAGACGGCAGAGGAGGCCTCTGCACCCCAACCCTCCCTACCCCTACTCCTGTGCAGGTCCCCTTAGCTGGCTGCTCCTCTCCCATTAGCTGGCTGGCTGTCCAGTTCACAGCTGCCCCTGGTTCCGGTTAGTTGTCACAAGCAGACATCTTGTACTCTAAGACCAGGCTGCCATCTCCTATGAGGACAGCTTCCTTGCCGCAGTCTTTTTCGCCCTGCACCCATGACTGCATTGGACAAGGGTGGCTGCAGGGCCAGCACTGCTCTGTCCCTTAGCCGGGGGATGGGGTGGGGGTAGGAATGAGGGGAGAAGGGGCCGGGACACAAGTATAAACACAAAAACATTCTCGAGGTTTCTGCCTGGATCAGAGGGGTCCAAACAGTTGCCATTTGCTAGCTAGAAATCAAAGCACACAACACTTCTCCCAACAGCACAAATCACTTGAAAGGAAGAACAAGAAGATGGGATGGCCCAGCCGCGCAGCCTCAGTCGAAGGCGATCCGGAGGCTGCGCTCCTGCTCCTTGCGGCGCCCCTCGCAGACTCTGGCCACCTCCTCCACCTTGCGCTGCAGCAGGGCGGAGTTCTGGTCGACCCATTGCAGCGAGTCCATGTGTGCATTAAGGATCTTGCAGATCTGCTGCAGGGGGTCGCTGGTGTCGGCGGGGCCGCCAGATGTGTTCAGATGTTCGATAATGTCCTTGAGGTCCTGGGCCATGCGCTTCAGCTGCGCATCAATGTTCTCGGCCAGCTTGTAGGTCTTCTCACGCTCCTCGTCGGCATGCTGCAGGTAGATGGTGCCACTCTGCTCCTTCACCAACTCTTCCAGTGGGCTCAGCAGGTCCTCCAACTCCTTCTGCTGGGACAGGATGAAGTCGAGCTCCTGGTCCAGCCTCTTCTGGTCCAGCTTCACCTTCTCCACCTCACGGTGCAGGGTGGTGATCTTCTCCCCGTTCTCGATAAGCGTGCGGTCCCAGGCGTTCACCTGGGTGGCCTGCTGCAGGAAGTGGCGCTCCTGATCCTCCAGCTCCAGGCTCCACTTGTTGATGAGGCTCTCCAGCTGCCCATAGGTCATCACAGGGGAGGCAGCAGCCCCGGTCGTGGTGCTGGTGCCAGGTGGAAGGGTCACAGCAGCTGCTGTGTTGCTGGGGATCCCGGTTGGCACAAGTGGTTTTAAACTCAAGGCAAAGCCGCCGCTGCTGGTGGTGGTAGTGGTGGTGGTGGTGGCCGTAGGTGCACTGGAGGAGGTGCCAGAAGCTGCTCCAGGGGCCTTCAGGCTGAAGGCCAGTGTCCCAGCTCCGGGAGCCCCAGCTGTGGTTGCTGGGGCTGAAAGGGAGAGCCCCGGGGCGGTGGACGAGGTGGGGGCAGCAGCTATGGAAGAAAAGAGGGTGGGCCCGGCACTGGTGGTGGTGGTGGTGGTGGTGGTAGCAGGGGCGGTGCTGGCCCCGGCCCCGGTGCTTGCTGGGGTGGTAGCACTGAAGGGTAACCCGGGAAGGGCAGTGGGCTGGGCCAAACTGCCCAAGGAGCCAATGTTGAATGCAGAGGCCCCGGACTGGGCTGCACCTCCACTGGTGAACAAGAACCCTCCAGATGTGGTGGTTGGGGCTGTGGAGGTGGTGGTGGTAGTGGTGGTGGTGGCAGTGGAGCCAAACACAAAGCTAGAGGGGGCAGCCCCCTGGCTGGAGGTGCTGGTGTTTGATATGGCATTGGTGAGCGTGCTGCTGCCAAGCCCAAAGCCGCCTGTGTTTGCTGGGGCAGAGGTGGCAGCTGTGCTGGTCAAGTTTAGCTTTGGGGCACTGATCCCTAAAGAAAAGCCACTTCCTCCAGAAGCAGGATTTGTTCCGAAAGTGAACCCCGTAGTCTGTGTGGCTGGAGCCTGGGTCGTGAGCGAGAACAGGCTGGTGGTAGGGGTGGTTGTAGCCGGTTGGGAGGCAGTCCCAAAATTAAACAATCCGGTGCCCGAAGCAGAGAAAGAAAACCCTGTGGAGGGTGTGGTTGTTGATGTCTTTGCGGTGCCAAATGTGAACCCGCCTGTAGAGGCCCCAGTGCCTCCAAAATTAAACCCGCTCATGGCTCCAGACTCTGGCGACAGCAGCTACTCCGGAGCTCCCAAGCCAATCCTTCGGCGTCTGCAACCTTGGGAAGATTTTTAAAGCAGAGGAAGGGACATGATCAGTTTTGGAAGGCAAGGCAGAGGCCTGACGGAGCATGCGCGGTGTGGGGTTGCATTAGAACAGCAGCACCCATCCTTCTGCATAACCTGAACTGTGCTCTGCCCAATGAGCAAAGGAGATTCTGGAAGCCCCGCCCATGCCACACCCAAGGCTGGGCACTGGGAGCTCTGGCTAGGTCACTGAGGTTGGTACAGTGGGAACTTCCCACTGCCAGGAAGAAGGCAGGACACAGCCTGGACCAGTCTTAGTCCAGGGATGCCTGATGGAGGCATGTGCAGTGTGTGGGGCTAGGACACCAAATACCCCCAGAAACTTGCTCCCCAGGACCCACTTTGTGTGCACGGGAACCAGCCTGCTGCCTGCTGCCAGATGGCTTACCAGGCTGGACTTGGCACAACAAGATGTGCCCGGGAAACCAATCCAGGCTGTGAGGCAAGCACACTGCCCCAGCACTTCCGGAATGGAGAGTATGGGTGGGCATGGAAACCGTGGTGCTCAGTCAGGGCACTAGATGCCCCTGGCTATAGCAACTGGCTCGAGGATAGGCAGCAGTGGCAGATATGGAGCCAGAAGACAGGAAACACCTGGCCCTTTCCCTGGCCATCTTCCCACCTCCATTCAACTTCAGCCCACTTCCCACTGGCTGCCTGTACTCTGCGATGAGCCCAAAGCATGCCATGGTGCACCTGGGAAGTTGAAGCCACCAAGCAAGGAAGGGGAGACAGCACTAGGCTGGGCAAAATGAAGGCTCAGATTCTTTCAGTGCCCAGGGCGGGAGCTGTGATGGCATCCCAGGGTCACAAGCTAGCAAGTGCTGAGCTAGGAGCTGAGCCTGGCTGTGGCCTGCCGCGACTGCCAGGCACTGGTCCCATCCACAAGCCAGCCAGCCTCACGTGGCACAGCACTTCCCAGGCCCTGACAGATGTGGGGTGCACTGACACCATGCCATACCGAAGGACTGAGGGCCTCGCAGCACAAAGCACTCATCTATGTCCACATGAGGTGTCAGGCCGATCCCTTCCACACACAGTCTTGCTACAGAGCCAGGCTAGCACTCTGATCATCCTCCCTCTGTCTCCCTGGTGCTAAACAGCAGGCCTGTGACACCAGCCTGGGCTACACAGACGGCTTAGACAATGCGAGAGATTTACAAGTTATGAGCTGAGTAAGGTTTCTAGGCTGGCTGGGGATGGTACCCAGGGCCAGGTTTGACCATAGCTTGTTGGAGGGAGCTCTGTGTCACCTGGCCCCAACCAGTAGCCATGCTGTGGCAGGAATAGACAGTCCTGATTTCCAGCGGGGTCAGCACAGGATGCAGTGTAGCACCCCCAACCACACCCATGACCCAATCCCTGACCCAGGCATCTGTGACCTTATATGGTAGAAGGGACTCTGCAGATGTGACTAAGGCAGAGGCTATGTGACAACTGGGGTAAGGGATCGACACATCAAAGATGAGGCTGGAAGAAGGGGCCATAAGCCAAGGAAGCTGGAAAGTACAAGGTTGGAAAGAAAGGGTAGCAATCCTCCCTGGGGTCTGCAGATGTTGGAGCCC